TTTTTTTTTTTTTTTTTTTTTTTTTTGTGTCTGTTACCACTTTTTCTCAGCTCTCACCGAACGGATTTCTTTCAATGATACCCAACCAAATCATTGAAACCCAACCAAATCTCCCAGACGGTTTAATTAAAGACGGTAATTAAAGATAGGTAGAGGGGATATGTCACCTTAAGGTTAAATAAATATACATATTTAAATATATATACATTGATACTTTATTATATGGAGTAAAAAATACAATTAATAGTGCATATTATACATTTTTACATTAATATCATNTAAATAGTGCATATTATACATTTTTTTACATTAATATCTTTCAATAATATTAAAATTATTTATTTTTCAAGTTCATTTTTATTCATCCATGAATCATGTTTTGAAGGAAAACCCATCCAACGAACCAATACTTTATCTCCTTTACGACGTACAATTTTTTCAATCAGATAATTATGCGGATACTTGGTTTTTTGTAATTCTTGTTCATAAAAACACCCTCTATATGGATTTTTTTCAAAGTCTTCGAGAAGATAGGTTACTGGTATAGTGTTGCATACCTTTGCTATAGTAAATATTTCAAAAGACCAATTACTCAAATAGCCTTTTTCAAATACGACCTTGTTCGAACTAACCCTTACATAATCACCTCTACGAAATTTAATTTTTTGTTTCGTTTTATGTACAGTACTGTGTATAACCACTGCCGAAGAATTGTTATCGGCATACGTAGGAGTCATCTTTATTGTTCTATGCACGCTGTTGTTGTACTCGTGCATAACTTTGTTTAATATAGATAACCAATTGTGTGATCCTTGAGCAGTAAACTCTCTATATAATTTGGTCTTGATGGTTCGAATTAATCGCTCACAAATTGACGCTTTTAATGTGCTATACGTTGAGTAATGTTTTATGTTGTATTTTTTCATAAGAGTTGAAAATTTCGAGTTATAAAATTCTTTACCCAAATCGCTCTGTACGTGAACGATATTACGTTTTGCAAGTATAGGTTCTATTGCTTTCACTATATCAGCTCCTCTTTTTGATTTTAGGGGTACTGCCCATGAATATTTTGTAAAACAATCAATTACAAACAAAATATATTTATAGCCTTTATTCTGTCTATGATATGGTATAAATTCAGCTAAATCGATCTGAAATAAATCGTCACGGCTTTTAAGTACAACACTACGTCTATCGTAATGTATTCGTCTAGGTCTATGTAGTTCTTCCGCAATTTGTCTTTTAAACATTTGGTATTTTTTTAATTATGCCCGCCTCGTATAATTCTTCATAAATTGATATAATTTCATTACCATGTGCATTATTGCCTGCTGCCTGCGAAGCCAATAGTAATCTAAGACGGTCGCAGAGCTCGTCTGCGTTATTCCAATATTTATAGTTATTCGATGTATTCAATGACAACTCAAGACCTCTGCCCTCGACAAACAATTTACTTATAACTTCTTTATACTTGTAGCCATTTGTTTTCTTAATTTTTAATTTATTCGTTGTTAAGTGCGCAGAAGTATGAACTAGAATGTCTCTATAGACATCCAAGTCATTTTTACCGTATGCGTTAGGCCGTTTTGAAAATATTAACTGTATTAGACCGGGGGTTAATTGATATTTATTATTTTCTATGATCAGCTGAGCTGTTTTATAATTAAACTGAACAAT